CGGTCTTTGAAAAACGTTTAAAAGATTTCTAAACAAAAAAATCGTATTATAATATGTCTGAATTTTTTGGCGATAAATGTATTTGAAATTGATTTCGTGTCTATATGAAATTTAGGTAATAATCAAAAATACAATTCAGTAAATATTATTATTAAAAATAAGTGTACGAATAATATATATCATAATATATGTTGAAATAATTGTATCATTAGGTTTAAGTTTAAATTGTGCTACGCCCTAACAGGGTATCACATGTAGTTTATTGAAATGTGGATTGCAATAAATGAAATGACATTAAATGTAATAGTGATAAAAATGTTTAATAATTATAAAAATAATAATCTAATTAATTTTAAGATAAAAATATTATGTAATATTGATTTTTATTAATAATTATAAAATCAGTAATATAATTCATTATCTAAACTATTTAACCACGTTCAAGCTTGCAATGTATTTAAATTCCATTGTAACTTTGCTACACCCTTACAGGGTAATAATAGGGGTTAAAGTATGAAATTTCCGATTTGTACTGAAAATCTAAATTGTTTATTTTTTAAATTTTTAACAAATTTATTTAATCAAAATAGTTGCCATTATTATCTATACATTGCTGCCATCTAATGGGAAGGTTATTAATGCCTTTGCGATAGAACTCCGACGATCTAGACTGCACAAACTGTGTGAAAGCATTTTGTACTGCCTCCTGGGAAGAAAACTTCTTGTCACGTAGATAATTGTCCAAATCACGAAAAAAATGGTAGTCCGTTGGAGCAAGGTCTGGTGAATACGGAGGATGACGAATGGTTTCTAACTGCAGTTCCTGAAGGGTCAAAATGGTTTCTCGTGCTGTGTGAGGTCTCGCGTTGTCGTGGAGCAATAATGGTGAAGATCGATTCATGAGTCGGGGCTGTTTTACTGCTAGTTTTGTCAACATGGTTCGGAGTTCGGCACAATAGACATCTGCCATTATTGCTTGACCAGATCGGAGAAAACTATAGTGAATAACACCATGCTGAGACCACCAAACAGTTACCATTACCTTTTTATTGGTAAGTTTTGCTTTAGGACACTGTTGTGGCATTTGACCTGGGGTCAGCCATTGCATTTTTCTTTTCCGGTTATCATAAAGAATCCACTTTTCATCACATGTTACAATTCGATCCAATATTCCTTCATTTCTGTACCGGTTCAACAAGGCAACACAAGTTTCAACACGCGTTTCTTTCTGCAGATCAGTCAAATCATGAGGCACCCATTTTTCGTATTTTTTTATTTTATTGATTTGACGCAAGTGAGTCAATATTGTGGGTAAGGTAACGTTAAACCATGCCGCTAATTCCTGGGTAGTTTGACTTGGATCGGCTTCCACTATCTCTCTTAATTCATCGTTATTCACCTGTGTGGGCGGTCTTCCTCGTGGCTCGTTCTTTAAGTCGAAATTTCCATCACGAAAGCGTTTAAACCAAAATCGCACGGTGCGTTCATTAGTAGACCCCTCTCCAAACGCAGCATTGATATTGCGGGCTGTTTCTGCCGCGTTAGTTCCGCGTCGGAACTCGTATTCAAAAATCACTCGAATTTTCGCAGTATCCATCTTTCTTGTCTAAATTGAATAACAAAAACAATTGAAAGTCGATATTCAAATGTTTCAAATTTAAAAAAATAAAATCACAGAAACCATTTGAAAAAAGTTTCATTCGAAAACCTCAAACCATGAAGATTCTATGAAAATTCAAAGAACCTATTGCAATAAAACGGTAATTTCATACTTTAACCCCTAATATCTCATGTATAAGCTTATCTTCCATGTGAAATGCTAATAAATATGAATATGAATAAAATTGAAATAAGCGCGCGCTATTGGCTGTCTCAATCAGCACCCCGTAGCATGGCATGATAATCGCGTCACGCGCAATAAAATTGAATAAGTGCGCGCTGATGGCTGTCTCAATCAGATCTAATTTCGATAGCCAATAGCGCGCGCTTTTTTCAATTTTTTCGCGCGTGTCGCGACTATCATGCTTAGCCATGCTACAAGGGCTGATCTAATTTAAATAGCCAATAGCGCGCGTTTATTTCAATTTTATCGCGCGCGTCGCGACTTCATGCGTAGCCATGCTACGGGGGCAGAGGTGGGTACTGAAATAGGGGGTAGCTCAGATTACGTGGCGAGAGGCATTTCTATAAACTCAAACTGTAATAATCTTCAATTTTATACTTTATTTCACTTTTTTACATAATTTTGGCGTAGAGTTACGAAACAATGATCTTAATATGATATGTCAAGATCCTCCCTTATTTTCTTAGCGTTCCAAATACAAAACTATAATCATTACCTATGTTCAGCCAGCAATTCTACTCATAGAGTACAGCCTAGTCTACAGTACGATAGGCGATAGGTCCTCAAGTTTCGTCCAGCGATAGAACCCTGAAATTCCCAAAAAATATATGAACAGGTATTCACTAAATAACACCGGTCGTAATTAAATTTATCGTAAGATTTGCAAATCGTAACATTGCTAAATCATTTGAATAGCGAAATTTCTTTCTCACAGCTATTGGAATTGTATACTTGCTAGTTCGCACGATGCAACAACAGAATAACTACAGCAGGTTAGTTAGTTGTTCGATAATGAGCAATGGTCGGAAAAAGTTTTCCTCGTAATATATAGATACATGTACAGACATAGCTACAAGGAGCGACATTTATTTGTTTATTAACCTATACTACACTGACATTCAATTATATTGAGAATTACATTCATAAATTGCTTAAACTACAACTTCAGCGAATCTTGAAGTCGAAGGTCGTCGGACCATCTTTTAAATGGACGACCTCTTTTCCTCTCGGCATTTTCTCTTGGTAACCATTCTGGTCAACTTTTCTATTCTCTTCCTGTACGTACGTGGCCTGTCCACTTCCACTTCAGTGTTTTGCTTTTTGTGGTGACATCCTCCAATTTAGTGGTCCTTCGTATGTCTGTGGCTCTCTCTTTGTCTCTTAGAGAGAATCCCAGCATACTTCTCTCCATTCCTTTATGAGCCATCTGGTGACACCCAAGTCCATTTCTTTGTTTGTTTTTTCTTGAAATAGCTGTTCATGTAAGAGAGGTTGTGTTCTTGTGCTAGGTTTATCATCCTTTTTCCGTTTTCGCTCCTCTTCCCCACGCCAAATTTCCTTATCACTGATTCTTTGCCTGGGTTTTGTGTTCCGATTCTGTCGTAAAAGTCGCCCATAACCACCACGTTTGTTTGCGTCTTATAGGGTTTCCGAGAGTTCTTCATAAAATTTATCTTTTAGACCATTGTTGCTAGTTTCTGTTGGTGCGTATATTTGAATGATGGACCAGATTTCTTTGGAGCCTGGTATACTTATGTTGAGGACTGCAATTCTATCGGTTATTCCCTTAAATTCTATATCTTTTCACAAGGAGTGGCATAAAGTTGTTAAAACCACCAAATATTAATTAATTACTTTTTCGATTTCCGGAAATGGTTTTACTGCATCGTAGAACAAAACCACTAACCTAGGAAGTCGAAGTTGGATTTTAAAGTAATTATAATGGTGCTATGTAAAAAATACAGTAGTTAACTGACATTTTACCAAAACGGAGAATAAAAAAGTAACGAGTATTGTCATTTTCTGCCCCTCCCTAGGTTTAGATACCGCATTTGGATGAATTACACTTTCCGAATTTCAATGGCACTTTTGAGTGATTTTTGTAAAACCATTTTTCCTTTTGATTGTCAGAGTTGTTAAAACCAGAGTTTTAGAGCTAACAGAACTATGTAGGCTAACTACTAAGTTAGCCCACATAGTTCTGTAAGCTCGGTTAGCTTATTTCGCGGTGTGAAGAAATGTATGAATGTAGGTGCTATGGACAACCACAAATTACATCCCAATAGACACCCACATACATAGGCAGCCACAAATTACACTCAAACTCTACTACTACTTAAGCAAAACCAACCAAAGAACGAATGAGAATGGAGGCATGCAACAAACACTTCATGATATATAGTTTTTCTACGCGACTATACCTTACAATAATTTGGATTTCTGTTATCTTGATGGAAACAGCAACGTAGATGGATACAACAACTAATTCCACAATAGGACTATAACCGACAACTTTTTCTAGGTACCTACTCGAGGTTGATAAATGGTAACGCCGCGCCGCCGCACCTGCCGGAATAGGGTTAATCAGCGTGGCCATTCAAACAACTAAAACCATAGATGATGCACTATGAAACAACCTTGAAATTTTAAAATGGCGAATCGATAGAACATAGGTTCTTTCGACTAGAACCGACAGATCACGGTGTTTTACCCGACTAGTCAAATTTTGGCAAAGGCAAGCCACGCAAACACAGTACAATCAATGTCAAAATTATTAAACATACCGAAAAAAACTGAATACCTACTTGATAAAAATTAACTTTATTTAATGTAGGATCTTAGCTGGCGTCCTATGCAGGAGGGCAGAGTCCAGTGGTGAACGCCTGGTTAGTCGAAAGTTACATCCTTTCACTATTAAATCAAAAAGCACAATTAATTGAAACATATTCGCCTTAAAACAGTAACCTGTGTAATTTTTTATTTTTTTAAGTTTTTCATTGGAATTCATGTATTTTTTGGCAGTGAATAGGTACACAACCAGTTTCTCGTCATCATCAACAGAACAATATAATAACAAAGTACTCTTTGTTCAATTGTATACATAAATAATTTCAGTAAATTCAATCCCTGACCTGACATAAGGCACCAGAAGTTAACAATATTTATATACTATGTTGTAAAAAATGAGTAATGACAATAAGTATCAAAATAATACAATATCAAACAAACTAAGATCCATTTATTGGGTAAGAAAAAATATATCCTATGTACTTAAAATTAAGTAATGATTAATAGATAGATGTTTATTAAAAGACAATGTATAATGTCTTAAATGTTTTAATTAGCTCCATGTTTTTATATATCAAAACATATGTCATTAAAAAGCTGAAATCTTTGACTGTAGATATTATGTTTTGTAACACAATCTAAAATCTTACTTATAAGTTAGAATATGGAACAATTTTACTGTAATAAGCTAGTTGATTATGTTTCAATAATGAATATATTTAGATCTAGAGCCACCAAGTACAATTTCACTGAAATGTAAAATCCGTATTGTAATAGCACACTATGCTACATATTATAGCAAGATTTAAAGTGAATTTGTCATATTTTGTTTTCGTGTTAAATGCCCAGACCAAAAACAGAAACAATGCAATACATAGTTTTGTTCTCCCAGCGCACTGTGCATGATCCATCAGTGTTGTTGTCCCAGAAACATGATGATGCTGTATGTAGTCCTGCTCCATTCTTTTGCATTATAGTGCATGTTACTGTAACAAAAGAGAAAGTGCTGTATTTACTACAAGGCGTACTCTGTATCCAAAACTATACGCACCGGCTTCGTATCTTATGCATTACACCCACCTATGTACTTGTACGGTTTTTGTAACTTTGTTAGTTGGCCCAGACAAGACTCCACTACAGCCGAAGTCCACTGATTCACTTTGTTATGTTGATAAGCTGTACCTCCGATAGAATTTTCGATAGCTTCTTTGATAATTTTGCTCACATCGTCCACAATAAATTGGTTCTGAAACACGTCATAATCATGTCGCATAATCGATATTAACTTTCTACTGCATTAAGTTAACCTAACAACTTACTTCCTCGGTTAAATCATTACATTCCTTGACCTCCATGATATACAACGTAAACTTCCAATTGTAGGGATTTAGAAATACTTTTTTATTAAAACAACAAAATTTTTGACGCTATGGAAAAGAAACCCTTTTTTGTTCGTCAAACAAACTCCAACCAACTGAACCAACTTGACATTTTATTGCGAATGTTGGTAGCATTGCACACGCGAGGCTTATGTTAGTTATTATAGAGCCTTATGTATCCTATTGGATGATTTTCCGAAAAATTTCAAATTAAAAAAATTTGAAAAATTGGAAAAATATAATTTGGATGGCTCATATTATGTTCCATTTTATGTGGCTGTTAGCTATACAAGTTTATTTTATAATTCACGACAAATAAAACTTAAAAAGATATTTGTGGCATAGTTCTAAACGAAGAACATAGTATAAAGATTCGAATTATTATATTTTTACAATGTTTTTATATTTTTCAGAAAATTTTCCGCAAAAATTTGCTACTATTTATATATCTATATGCAATCTATACACACGTTTTTTGAAAATTACACAACAGTAATGGCAACCGACAATTTTGACGTATACATATAATTTGTCCCTAAAGGATGGAAAAATAGTATAAAGGTCGTATTCTAGAACTCTACTTAATCCTCAAGTCAGGACTTGAGTTCAGGCTTTTTATAGGCAAGGAGCCTGCATTGGGAGCAATTTCGAATACAATTTCACTCCTGTATTTATTCATCGCAAAAATAATAGAAGAAAATCTACTACAATGCTAATTACTATTACTGTTGTATATATTTTCTATGTTTATTATTTGTAGTGTTGGGTTATTGAAAAATTCCCATTTTAAAAATTCACATTTTACAGAAAAATCTATAGTCTGTGGCTAGTTGGCATAGCGTCTAACGTCTGAGCGTAGCACGCTTTGCTAGAAGACGCTGGTTTGAATACTACGAGTTCTAGAATAGAGAGTGACTGTGAACTCTACTTAATGCTCAAGTCAGGACTTGAGTATGATTTTTAGCACTGGAAATACGACCCTATTGGCAAGGACTTGAGTATGATTTCTAGTACTTTAAATCATACTCAAGTCCTGACTTGAGCATTGAGTAGAGTTCTGAAATACGATCCTAAGATCTAACCGTAGAAGGTAATATTACGAGCCTTCGAATTTTTATTGTTTCAATTTTTACAACTAATCTGAAAAAAATTCTACCCTATTATTGAAATTTTTTGGAAAATTACCCATAATACAAGGTCTTGAAATGAGATTCGCTCTGGACCTTTTGGAGAGAAAAGTGTTATTTTTATTTTGACTTTCAATTATTTTGTGAAATCTAGTTTAAAGTGGAATAGGATAGTGCTATTGTACCTTAATCGAAGATTAAAACGTGAAATTATACGAATCTCGAACTAAAATACCCCAATCGGCTCGTTTTAAGGCATCCCGAGTCAATCCAAGCACGCCGCCTCAAATTGCCTATCCTCTTTGTGGCGGCCATATTTACAGAAACATAATTAAACTTCATGTTTAGGCTGATGGCTTTGCCAAAGCCTTAATAAAAAATAAAAAAAATATCTTGAAATGAGTTTAAAAAAATGGATTCGCTCTGGACCTTTTGGAGGGAAAAGTGTCGTTTTTATTTTGACTTTCAATTATTTTGTGAAATCTAGTTTAAAGTGGAATAGGATAGTGCTATTGTGCCTTAATCGAAGATTAAAACGCGAAATTATACGAATGTCGAACTAAAATACCCGTATCGGCCCGTTTTGAGGAATCCCGAGTCAATCCAAGCACGCCGCCTCAAATTGCCTATCCTCTTTGTGGCGGCCATATTTACGGAAACATATTTAAACTTCATGTTTAGGCTAATGGCTTTGCCAAAGCCTTAATAAATAAAAATTTAAAAAAATTGTTTTGACGTCTAAATTTTGTCTGCGGGTTGCGGGCAGTATTCGCGCGATTTTGCGCCAAAACCACTGAAATTACCCATTTAATTTGTTGTGACAACAATTTTAAATAATGTCTAAACGTAAGAGTATTAGTGCTGCAAATACGTTATTCAAATATTTCGCTAAAAGCCCACCACCTAACAAGAAAGTAAAGCTCGATGCCGATTTCGGGTGTTCGCAACACAGTTCTTCTTTGAACGGTGATAAAAATGGACAAAACATATGTAAGTCAGAGTAGATTACGTCGATGTTCAAGTATATTGTATGGCTGTCTAATTTCATGCACTGTGATGTACAGTATCTGAGTAAATGTTTAACACCTTCTTCTTTTAAATGTTATGGCCCCATCGAAATAAGTTTAACACCTTAATTTTTATTTCGCATAGGTGATAAAAGGTGTTCTACATATAAATATACATGTATAGATATCGCTACAGGGAGTGAGTTGTTAAACTTAAAATTGTGTCACTAATTATTAATAAATTACTTTTTTCGAGTTCCGGATTTCCAGAAATGGTTTTACTGCATCGTAGGACAAAACTACTGATCTAGGAAGTCGAAGTTGGATTTAACCGATTCTATTGGTGCCATGTAAAAAATTTGCGGTTGATAACTGAGCTTTTACCAAAGCAAAGAATAAAATAGTAAAGAGAATAATAATGCATGCACTCAACATGTCACCCTTTGCCCCTCCCTAGCTTTAGAACCGCTCCCAGTATATTGATGGTAACTTTGACAGACCGGCTACAAGGCTGTCAGCGAATCATTTGCTAACCTGTCCTAAACTCGACCGTGAGCCTGACATATTCAGCCGTGATTAGTCACTCCGTAAATTAAATAGAAATATCAGTGTAAAAGTGCACTTTAATATTTAAATTTTATATTAAAACAATCTTTATGTATTTATCAAACACAAAAACCATTAATTTTGAAAACAGTGAAAAAATACACTCCATGAATATCAGGGGTCACAACATGAAAATCATCCGAAAGGCCATCAGTCGCCATCACTGCTCACCACATTCTCGGCAACAGAGTGGTTACAAACTACAACAGGTTGCCTGAGGACGTGGTTAATGCTAGCTCAGTGAATGCTTTCAAAAATCGGCTGGACAGCTAGTTTAAAAAGAAGAATTTGTGTCTTCTAGATCTTGAAGTTTTTCTAGTGTTTTGTAGACTTTAACAAAAAATATTCAACACTATTTGTGAATTCGTGGACTTTATAAAAATTCAACACAGCTCTGATATAGGCATATCAGCTTCAAGCTGCTCGCCTGTTAATAATAAATAAATAAAATCCAAGCGTTATGGGTGTAATACATTTTTGCACCTTAACAAAATAGCGTATGATTCGTACCTGCACTCAGCTGACAACGGTCATTGAGTTTGAGTGGTGAACAAACATACATATAGATGATGACTTGAAAATATACCGCATAATAAGTGAGTCGTCTGACTGCTGTGAACTACAGGGTGATATTGACACAGTTTATGAATGGTGCCAACAAAACAGTATGCACCTCAATGCTAAAAAATGTTTTATTATAAGTTTTACTAATAAGCATTCTAAGCGTGTGTATGACTATCGACTTAATGAACAATTATTAGATAGAAAAACTGTAGCTAAGGACCTCGGTGTGTTATTTGACAGTAAATTAACGTTTCGTGAACATTATGCATACATTAAGAGGAAAGCACTTCAATTGTTGGGCTTCATAACAAGATGCACCAAGGATTTCAAACGGGCTCAAAGTTATCTGACAGTCTATTACAGCCTTGTCCGTAGTATTTTAGAGTATGCTTGTGTCATTTGGTCTCCCTGCTACTCAGTCCACTCGAATAGTGTAGAAAGCGTTCAGAGAAAATCATATCGGATACTTAGTTACAAATGTGGTTATGGCCGCAGCCTCGTTGGCTATAGTGAGAGACTTGACGAATTTAAAGTGACCTCCTTAAGTGTTCACCGTAAGAAACAGGATCTCACTTACTTGCACAAGGTTCTTCACGGTGAGATTGATTCTCCTTACCTCTTAAATAAAATAGCTCTCTCTACAAGGCGCAACCCCCGAATACCCAACAACACGTTTTACTTGCGGGCATACAGAAATAATACTTCGTTTTACAACCCCCTTGTAAGAATGTGTCGGCTTTACAACGAAATATCTATGAAAAACATCGATTTGGACATTTTTAATCCAGGATCCAGAGTGTTTAGACGAGTAGTAAAGCAGCTTGTACTTGTATAGATTTTCACCCATTCCCTTGTCGCTTTAGTATTAAGTAAATAAGTGAATTAACAACAAATTTAACAGTAGTTCTTTCTTGTTACTATAGATTGATGTGTCAACATAAGTAGGGTTACAATCTAGTACTGAACTTTGTTATATCATATATCATATTTAATTTGTATCAATGTAATTTGATTGTTATCTGTTTTGTTGTCCATATAATAAATAAATAAATAAATAAATAATAAACATACAAATAGATGTATGTTTGTTCACCATATCTATACCAACCACGTACAACACATAATACAGTACATACATAATAACCACAACAGATGGAATGCTTACAAGAATGTAAAACTGACAAAAACGAAATTATTAACACACATGTAGGAGACAAAACATTTCGGAGATCAACAACCCATAAATTGACAAGTACTTTTCACAAATAAATTTCAAATATTAACATAAAAATTCCAAAGCATACGTAACAAAATACACGTAGTAGAAAGCCTGCTTGAGGAACAAAAATACGACCTTTTATGTATGACGGAAACTTGGTTCAAGAAAGAGATACAGGAATGCATACAAATCCATGACTATAGTATTGTGGCATTGTACACTAGAAAAAACGCAAACAACAGCAACAAAAAGGGCTACGATATAGTGAACGCAGTGATATCACAGACCTGGACACTTAATATTTAGTGGAATGCTGTGCCGTGGAAATGACTAATTTGAATTGTATTGTAGTATGTGTATACAGAGCAGATTAAGAAATAGACTTTTTCTTCAGATTTCTGAATAGATTGCTAAACAGAATAAACCCATTATCAAAAACAAAACACAATAATTGAAGGTGACTTCAATATAAATAACAACAGAATATGCTCAATTTATACATAAGGGCAACCAATAATTCTTCAAGTTGTATTGACTTACTATTTACAAATTATACTACATATAACGTAACAGTAGTAGATAATGGTACTAGTGACCATAAAGGAATAATTTTTGAAATTGACATAAAAACATGATTTAAAAACAACAAAACATGTTTACTTATATATCTTTTTCTGAACGAAATGTGTCGCTTTTTGAATCAAGAATTGCAAAAATAAATTTGAATACATTTTTTATCAACTCAAATAATATTAATGAAAATTACATGGCTTTCGAAAATAAAATAAGGGAAATTATGGACAAAATGTATAACGCAGTGTCAGATCGATTAACCCTTAATAAAAAGCTTAAATGGTTGAATATTGGTTTAATGAAATCATGTATTCATAAAAGACAACTTAAAAAAATTGTGATTCAAATGAATAATAATAATAATACCTATATTAAAAATGCACACATGCAATAAACAATACGAAAACTTTCTTAAAAAATCTGTAAAATTTTGTAAAAAAAAAAATCTAAAAACCTTACAAAAAGTATGTGGAAAATAATAAAAATCGTGACAAATAAACAAAATTCTAATATTAAAATTAACGACATAATATCGCATCTATTCAATGACTACTTTGCATCTGTGGGAGAGCCAGCGCAACATCAGACACCGAGTGACGACCACCGCGCTGCGTGAGACCGGCGCAGGCGCCCACACCGTCTATCAAACCGGTCCTAAACTCTATTACCTTCAGCCAGCTACTAAACGTGAAGTATTCGCGATAATAAAAACTATGCCAAATAAATACAGTTATGGAACGGATGAAATACCCGCTGCACTAATTAAGAACTGTGCCAGTGAATTATCCGCACCAATAATGTCATTATTGTGATAAATCAGTGTTTTGAAAAAGAGTGTTTTCCGTAAAAATTCAAAGTAGCAAAAATTAAACCAATAATATTAAAAATACAATAAAATACCGCCTGACATAAAAAACGAAGCAAATGATAATTTATTCTTTAAAAATTTAAGAAAATATTTAATGAGTAAAATTTAAGAGTACATAAATAAATAATTAAATTATGTAAAAATACTTCAACAATGACTCCAAATGAACACAATTAATCAAAATACAAATACTTAATAATTAATTGATAATGAGTTTATATACATGTAATTTCTGTCAAATTCATAATATTAATTAATATATTCTCTCGACCTTCCCCATGACGTTTTTTGCTTTAGTTTTAGAATTGATTTTGTCATAAATTTGAATTTTTAAATTTTTTGTTTACACCTCTGAATTCCTATTCTAAAATTTTTGCTTTTTATTTTGTTTCAGTATATTTTCTTATGTTGCATTCAATATATTCTCTTGCAGTGCCCTATTCAGGGTCGTATACTACACTCTGGTCGTTTGTAACACCTGACTATGTATGTGTGACAATAAATAAATAAATAAGGACATGTTGATGGTTAAACTGTTTAAATTTATTTATCACGAATGTACTTTACTATTACTATATGTTATATTATTATACATGTATCTTTATATGTGGAACACCTTTTTCCGACCACATTGGTGATAAAGAATACGCGCGTTACAATAAGTCCCTTGATAAAGTATTATTATTATTATAACATTCCTTGACTTTACTTTGCCCACTTCTAAAATTTTTTAAAATTTGGCAATAGTGCATGTCTTTTTTTAGTGGCTGAATATTATGTATTATATTAAACTATAGTTATTTAAAACATTAGTGGACTCTATCATGACTATAACCAATTAAGCTACTCAAAACCTAAAACCTGTTCAATTATGTTTATTTATTATATAATACAGCTAAGAAACAAAACAAAGAACCAAGTCCCTCATTGGAGACTCGAAGTGACAGCGAGGATGAAATTACTGTTTCTGGAAAAAAAAGTAAACGCTTTAGATTCTGCCCAGTTTCAGATGACTCCGATACCGAGAACAAAGGTGAGCATGATAATTTCAAATGTATGTCACATATTTTAAAATTTTGCATCACAAGTTATAGACGTAAGAAAACCTTTACTATTCACATAAAGTACAACCTATTGTCCTGTAGAACAGAGAAAAAGCTATGTAAATAATTTAAATCTTTAGATTAGTTTATATAGTATACTATTCATTAGGCTTCATTCAGGGCCTATGCATCCCCTCATCACTGCGACCATTGACTGATCTATTGTGATCACCACTAATTACAGTGCAGAGCCAAGGCCGACAGCATTGAAGAACTGAAGGACTTTCTTGGTTCCGACAGATTTAATGTTCTCTGGTTCTGGCATGTGCCTTCCCAGTATGGAACTTCGTACACCCATCAGAGGGTAGCATTGAGTGAGTAGATGAACAGGAGTTTCTATGCTATCTCTGCCCAATATTTGACATGTGCTTGTTTAAGCCACAATGCCCTGTTAAGGCTCTAGTGAGCAATCTTATGCCATTTCTGTCCAATGACAGAGCTTCTCTACAGTGTTTGGCACTGACGGCAGATATCAGGACTTTTGAATGCTCAAGCCCTTGCTCTGTAGCCACACTTCTCGGGAGAGATGTGTGCTCTCGTTTAGCAGAGTGCGCTTTGCCAGACTGTATACTATCCCTATGAAGGGTTCGGGTCCAATAAAGGTTTCCCTAGCACCAGCCTTTGCCAGTTCATCCGCTGACTCATTACCCTCGATGTTAGAGTGGCCTGGAACCCAGCGCAGGACCACTGTATTACTTTCCCCGAGAGTATTCAGTATATTTACACAGTTCTCTACAATCCTCGATGTTTGCGTGACTGAGGCTAGTAGTGCATGTAGAGCCGCTTGACTGTCTGAGTTTATGTAAATATACTTGTCAACGTCGCCTCTCTTCAGGTTCAAATTCGCACAATTAATTATGGCGTACACTTCGGCCTGAGAGATAGAGGAGTGTCGTCTCATGTTCAGTTTGTAGCTGAGCCTGGGTCTCTCGCCATATATACCACAGCCTACGTTGGGTTATCTTAGACCCATCGGTATACCATAGAAGGCTACCGTCCTTCCAGGTCAGACTGTTAGTTTCCCAGTCGTCCCTAGTTGGAAATTCTACGTGGTAGAGTTTTTTTAAGTTTTGTTTGGGAAGCATGACATCAGAAGTCATTCCCAGAACAAGAGTCTTCAAGAATTGAGTCTTGGGCTGATCTCAATGTCTGGGAGACCCATCTACTCCGTAACCTAGTAGTAAGCCTGTACATGCTGGTAATGGCCTCTCTCTCACAGATGTTGTAAATCAACTTACCAGTGGCATTGAGTCCCATTGTGTTTGTGTGGTTAACCCAGTTCCTGAATGAGGGCGACATCCACGTTGCCTTTTGCGAAGCAACACTCCACCACAACCGTTGCAGCCACGGCATGGTGGAGGTTTGCTTGGAGAACCCTCACCCTATCCCCCGTGGGCGCCATCTAGCGGGAATTGAAGCCCCGGCCGCGTTGCTGCCCCCGACTGCTACGAGGAGGACGAGGCCGTCCTCGTGAGCCTCGCGGGTTGGCAGCTTCACGCCCTTGCACTCGTCCACGTGCCAAACTGCGGCCACGTGGGTTCGGTGCCGAAAACCACGGTCGTGTACCCCCAGACCGTCATTTAGTGCCATTACTATGGCAGTTTTTGTTCGAGCCGCCCCAGTACTGGTACTTGTTAATGGCTGCGCTGTTTGGATTAGACCCGGGACAGCGGGTGCTGTCCGAGTGTGCCCAGCCTCTCGTCTGCGATTCTTGTGAGGCGATGCACCTAGAGTCGCAGACGGGGCAGCCCCATCACGTTTCCCCTGGTGCGTGGAAGTTCGGCCAGGCGCAGACACCTGCGCTGAGATTCCCGGCCATGATTCCTCGAGCGGACTTGTAACCGACACTGGTTTCGAGACCGAGACACCCCGCGCAATGTCGCCACTGAAAGTACTTTCCGGATACCCCTTGATCCTAAACGTGACCTGTTTAAAACCAAGGTGTGCCCGGCAAATTGAGATACGGAGATTCTCCACAGATGGGTCATCAAGAGCGAACGCGACTACCAATCCGTTCGCATCTTCCCTTGCGTGAAGAATCTTCCATACTTCTGTGCCATTTGCTCTATTTTGGGCCCCCAGCAAGCGATGGCCATCTGCACCGACTCACATCCTTTTTTAGGAATGTAGGTGGTGGCGGAGACGGGCTTTGGAAGCTCGCTCTCCTCAATCAGGGACAGCTGGGCTTCCGGCCATGGCTTTAAATTACCGATCTTTCCCACCATTCAGTCTGCACTTGCTTGGTCCTTTCAGGTCACAAGAATCCAGGTTGGCTTGTCAAAGAGGCCCAGGAACTTCGGTCCCTCGGTGCGGACCAGGAACAGCTCCACTAGCTCCATTTGTTCCTCTGACATGGGTTCCGAATTCCGGAAACCCACACGCAGGGAGCCCGCCATTTCGCTAAAAGTAGGTCTGTTCCTGCTTTCAGCTGACGCCATGGTCCTGGGAGCTTTCCTGACATGCTCCTGTAGCGACGCCTCCTCTGACCGTTCACACTTCTGCGTTTTTGGTTTTGGAGGTGGTTTGGCGACCGGAAGATCACTCTAGGACTTTTCAGATAGAGGCAGAGTTTCTACGTAGCTCATACCTGTTCTCATCAGGCCCTGCAGTCTCTTCCAGCGAGACCTTCTCAGCCGAATGAGAAGTCTCACGAGAAGTTAGGGAATTAAAAGGTCACAGCTAGCAGAGCCCCGCTTGCCGGCTGAAGGGCATAAAGTTCCCCCGAGGTGCCCTGATATCGGGGGTGCACCGTTAGCAACTGAGCTCCCCCCCAGCCACGTATCCGTAGGCACGGTACCCTAGACACCCTTAGATTGGGTGACGACACTTTTGCCAACGCCTAGCAAATGCCCGATCAAAGTCCGAGCATTTACTAGGAGTTGCCCATGATGTACCGGCTCATGTCTTCCCTTCCTGTGCAATTGGATTTACATAGGAATGGAAGCCACTCGCTCACGTGGAGGTACGTCGTCCTGACATCCAATCCCTGACATACCAGAGTAATATAAATCACTTCAAAGCACTACCTAAATAACCCTGTCTGCACTGTTGATGCTGGACAATAAGCATTTGATTTCTGGTTCTGGTCACTTTCTTACTCTGGTGTTAATAGTATGGGATGTGCAGATCGCAACTTGCATGGAGGTGATATTTAGCACGAGATCTCTATGCAAATAGCACTTTATGTTATCTCATGTAAGTCGCGCCTTGTCGTGCAAATTGGTGTGGTTGTCCTTTTTTTACATTAATATAGTTATGAATACATTGAAATAATTTAAATTATTTTTTTCTAATAAATTTAATTTAAATATGACTCGTACTATTTCCAGTAGACAACAAAAAAGAATTGCCAAAAGAGATATTGACAGTTGAGAAGAAGTTGCAGGAAAGCTTTAAATATACTGCAAGCCAATCTCCTAAACAAAGCAAAATACCCGCAAAAGAGTAAGTATTAATTTATTTGGTTACATTGACAAGTTCAAAGAGGCATCCTCGAGTTGTCGTAACCGTGCCCATTACCGTCATACCTTTTTTTTTACGTCATACCCTGCCATGCTATTGGCAAATTCAGTTTCTATCATCTCCAATTTTATATTTGTGGCTTGGGTGTTACCATGAAATGAAAAAAGATCCATTGAATTATTAAAACTATCACTACCCTAATCCACCTTTCATGTACAGAATGACCATTTCATTTCTTTCTCACTTTACCCAAAACAAGTGCTATAATGTCGAGTTAGTTGTGTGAGCGAAATGTCTTTATTTGATGGACCTTACAGAACACCAGTCAAGACATCTCCAACAGAATCTCAAGAAACCTCAGTAGCTGATGACGGCAACTGGGTACATTGCAAACTGGAGTGGCTGAAACCCCACAAAATACGGGATGCTCAAGGCAGACGGCCGGACCATGAAGACTATGACCCCACCACACTCTACGTACCACAGGAGTTTCTCAATGCACAAACACCAGTATGTTACAAAACATTTATTTTGTTATTAAACTTCTTGGCTCTTAATTGAATTTAGCGGTGATTATAATACATTCGTTGATTCGGTGACAAAGATCTGCACAATCTCAGAATGAAGCCACTCTAAAAATAATAATTATAGTATTATAATAATTGTAATAAAATAAAATAAATAAAATATTATTTATTTCATAAATCGTCCATAGCAATATTAGTAGTAAATTACAAACAATTTGTCTTAAAATTAGGTTAGTAAGTAAGTGATTATTTATGTATCAAAATCAAAAAGGAAAGCACAATATAATCATTCCGAAACTTTTTACTTCCGGACATGGATATAAACCCCTTTGAGTAGTTCCATCCAATATTTGTGGATGGGACCTTCATACCTATCCGCAATCATCTACAGGACGTTGTTAGTGCTGCAGCACAATCTGCATCTCAGGGAGTTCGCCTTTTTACGCATAATCGCGAAGAAATCATCAATACTGGCTTCGGCAAACATCACCCAACACGCTGCAGAAGCGTGGCAACCCCAACGAAGTCCTGATGATGTTATTATACTGTATGTGGGCACACACAATATGTCTCGAAAAACAAAATCTTTATTTGTTTAGTATAGCGAGCAAACCTGCGGATCAGCATAGTGCCCCGTACGACCAGCGCCCTACGCTCTCCTTCGATATAACTATTATCTTTAAGACGTTCGATTACAATGTGAAATTTAATATGTGAACGTGTAATATAAAAATAATAAATGTTGTAAAATGTAGTGATAATAATCGTTAAACTTGTATGCAGCAATGCGCTTTTGTAACAACTACAATAAATTAGCTAACTTACAGTAATAAGGCACTACAAAAGAGTAAAAAAGCTTACAGAAGCGATTATGTATGTAAAAATGATAAATCAATAAATAAAAAATAAATTTATTTATCTACTTTTACATAGTAATTAATTATGCCCACATTATGACTTTAATTTATGTTTTTGTAGCTACAGTTATTATGTAGCTGAACTGTTTTCCAGACCTTACGGTTTTAAAATTAAATTCTCGTAATCTGCCTTACTACCAAACCGTATTTTTATCTTTGTACTATAATTTTTGACCAAGAATAGCATACAGTGGACAAATAAAGAAGAATGTCAAAGTGAGCAGCTATGAAGAGACCAAGGAGCTGCGTATGGGGAGGCTACATCCACAAGAGCCTGGTTCTTAAATAAGATGATGACTATAAAACAACATGTGTAGTTTACCACCAGGCGCAAAACTTGTTCGTCCCGACAATGGGTATTATGAAAAACTTTATTTTACGATACCAAGTACGTACAAGTGTTGAACAAATCGTGCGCTTAGTGGTAAGCGACACGTCTGTCCACAGCAGCAACAATAACACTCACAGCTTTAAATTGCTTAGGTCTGAGAGGCGCTCTGCCACTGCACTCGTCATCCTGAGACATAAGCTGACAAGTCCCATGGGACTGTAATTTCACCAGCTGATCTCCCACTTTTTTAAAACTGTGTCAACAGTCGACCATCAATTTAAATAATTTGAATTTACACAACTTTTACATAGAATTGTAACTGCTTAGAGACTGCAAATATATGAAATACTGTCACTGTTATGTAGGTCGCATAACCATTTATTATTGCTAACTATTATTTAAAACCATAAGGTCTGAAAACAGTTTAAGTGCGGTACTTACTATTTTATCTGTGTAAGAAATGTAACTAAGGACAATTTTTTTATATATTTATCCTGCAATCAGCCAACGGACAATATTATTAAAGGCTTAATTATTATAGATAGTACATAACTAAGAACTTGAAGCCATAAATACATCCCATAGGATTTCAAACCGTCAAACACTCTCAAACTTTAAAAGCAACCATTTTCGCACTAGGTTACTACCACTAAGTACATATGTTTTCCAAATTGTAGACCTATTTTTTTATTACTTTTGGCCGTATTTATATTTGGATTCTTTTTAGTGTAATGATAAATTGTTATAGTTTTGTGATTTATTGGATGTTTTAAACAAAGGGGAAATTTGTATTTTTGGTAGACTAATAGGTTTGCATATGAGGAACATCTGCATGTGTCTTCTTGAGGATAAGCACGCCTCTCAACTGAATCTCGGAAAATTGGAATGAAAATCTCTTTCTGGTCTTAAACTACTTTATTTTTTTTTTGCTAAATTGTTCCCAGGCCCATCGGCAGTGGTGGGAGATGAAAGGGACCCACTATGACTGCGTGCTGTTCTTCAAAGTGGGCAAGTTTTATGAACTGTACCACATGGACGCCAGCGTTGGAGTCAACGAGCTTGGTTTCTCTTACATGAAAGTGAGTATACGAGAATGTTTGAATTAACTTTCCTAGATAAGATTTAAATTCACCTCTATGCCACTTACGATAAAAACTATACAAAATTCAACGCATAATAACCTCAGTACAGAGTACTAATAAAACCGACCTCAAAAGTGATTCAACTCCTAGTTTGTCACCATTAGAGGTGGAGTGTTTGACAAATATGTTACTCGATCGCTAGCTACAACCGTCAATAGTCTTAATAGTCTACACTCCCCTTCAGGTGGAGTTATAAAACAAGATTTGTAAGTATATTTTCAACTGTCCTCACAGTCATTGGTAATTGCAGGGCGAATTCGCTCATTCTGGCTTTCCGGAGAGTGCTTATGCGCGTATGGCGACTACACTCGTGTCGAAGGGATACAAAGTAGCCCGTGTCGAGCAGACGGAGACTCCGGAAATGATGAAAGACAGGTGTAAGAAATGTGAGTGGTTTCGCTTAGAAATTGTAAAATTGGGAGCCATTCTTGAACTTCAGAAATTAACGCAAGGTTTTTGAACTTAACTTTCCCTTCTAAATGTTATATTGACTTTCGACATATACTGTTATCTTCTTGGAAACTTATTCCTGTACTATTTTAGTTTTAAGTTTTAACTTACTTGGTTTGTTGTTAAGGAGTAAATGTTATTATAAGAAGGGAAACAGTTTTACAGATCACATGGAATTCTATCCAAAACAACAATTCCTGAATTAAAATTATTTAAATAATTATATACAAATAATTATTATATAAATGACAAATGTAAAAGCTATAATGGAAAGTATTAGAGTGCATTGGGAAATTCGAAGCTTACCGAGAGACATACAGAGAGGGAAAAGTTGTACTGTAAAGGTGGTTTTCCACCGGCGAGGGGAGACGAGACGAAGAGAGATGAGAATTGAAATTTCGCCGGCCTATTTCCACCAAAAACTGCCATTAATAGCTCGCGCGAGCCATCGCGATCTCACGCGAGCTCGCACTTTGATTGTTATTAGTAAAGATTCAGCGATGTTCAGTTCACCTAGCGATAAATACGCGGCTAAAGTAACATGTCCCGTAAATTATTATTATTAAATATGTTAACAGAAGAATCAGAAAAAACCATTTTCTTTTATATTTCAATTCGTACGTACCTTTAGACGATCGTGTTTCCGTTAGAGTATAATACTATATGTGGGCCGTAATACGGTTCCAATATTACATCAACAAGTATTCCATTCCACCGAAGATGGGCTAGGAGATAATTGAAATTATTTTCATACAAATTGCAATGCTCGTCTCGCCTTGCCTCGCCGGTAGAAAACACCATTAAGTGTACTTTAAAATAAGAATACTTATCATATTATAGTGAATCAAACGTCGAAGTTCAGTAAAGTGGTGCGCCGCGAGATCTGCCAAGTAACAGTACGCGGCACGCAGGTGTGCGGTCTGCAGGACACTGGACCCGGGGAGCCTGACGCCGCCTACATGATAGCCATTGCTGAGGAGGTGACATTTTTTACTGTCCTCCTTGTCGTAACTACGTCCTTCCGTCACTTGATATTATAAAAAAAAACTAACGCATTTCTATTTTAATAACTTTCGAGACATTGTTTTTGCACCTAGTTTTTTTTTTTCATTGAAAAATGGCACTTACGCTGATTTCCCTTAATATTGTTGTTGTATATCTCTCAGTCCGACATTCGTCTGAAACAATTTCCGGCAAATAAGTAATACTCGATCAACCCAGTAGCAGTAGAGCTCCTTGTGAAAGAGTTCGTCCAGAGAAATACTGCCGCCTAATCTATTTCTACCGCCAAGCAGTAATGTCACTATTACTGTGTTCCGGTTTTGAATGGTAAGGGTGCTGGTGAAATTACAGGCACAGGGGACTTATCAACTTATGTCTCAGGGTGACGGGCGCAGTGGCAGTGCCCCTAAGATCTTTGCGATTTAAAGCTCTTAGTGGCACTGCAACTGTTATGGCCAGGTGTGTTGCTTACCATCAGGCGCACGAAATTTTCGTCCCGTCACTTGATATTCTAAAACAAAACCTCCATACAACGATGGAGATTATGAGACACCAATTTCTGGGCCGAGTGATCTTCGTTTTGAAGATTTAATCTGGCCGTCCAGATCGGTCTTGAAAAAGTCTTGAAACTTAACATTATCAAATAAATCGCCAATTTGGCGTCAGGTGTTTTGCGTGCAACAATTCAAAATGCCGTAAAACGAGCACAAAATAATGTGGATTAACTCAGGAGGTGGTAATTTGACCGATATAATTTTTTCAACAATCATCAAATGAATGTCATCAATTTTTACATTTTCAAATAAACTTTTCTTGAAAACGGACCTAACTTTTTTTCTCTCTCATTTCATTCATTTCATCTCATTACTAACAAAATGGTAGCCTGGGCCTCTAACACGAGTTTACTGTGACAGTTGTCGTTAGTGACCGCGTATTTTACTTTACGATTTTGTATTGTACATTATGTTATGATACAGTCCGGTGCGATGCACGCTCAGATTCGGACGTGCTCACACAGTAAGAATTATATTAATTCGCGATCCGCGCGGTAATGACCGCTGCGCGTAATTGACTATGGGTTCCCAACAACTCATAGCCAATGAACTATTGGCGTTCATACAACACGCCATCGACACTATGGACGAGGTCAGCATCATGCAGATCTGCAAATCAAACTTTAAAGAAGATGAGATTTGCAGTGGCAAGGCGCTGCTTTTCCGTGTGCTTGGCAAGGCCGAGCAGATGCCATCTCGCCGGAGGGATGGAGGAACGAAGAGTATCCAGGACATTATAACGATGTCAAAGGAAACCGACCCAGACGACGTGCCTGCTTTCGTGGCAAAGGAGCTGCACAAGCTGCCCCCTGTCACGTTCGACCATGTCGATGTCACTAGGCTGCTTAAGGACATCACATCCCTGAAAGCAAGTCTGGCCGAAGTTCAATGTAAATTGGAGGCTTCGGATAACACCATCTGTGAGTTACGTGCCCAAGTTGTATTACTGAGTAGTGCAACTTCGGTAAGTAGGTCACCCGAGGCCTGTAACGTGAATACTCGTCGCGGGGCACATAATGCATCTATCGGCAGTTTTGAGTCGGCCCATACGGATGCGTCACCGACCGCTGTCGCTGAGCGCGTTTCCCCGCGCCCCGCCCCTCGATTGTCCGCTCCGGCGGAGACGTCACGCGTAAACACGTTGACCCCTCCACGTGATTACGCCGCTGTCGCAGCTGTTAACCGACCCGTTGCTCCACAACCACAAGCCAGGCAGCTATCAACGAAGGGGATGAAAAAACCTCGTGTACCTGTCTCTGAAGTTGCAAAACCACAGAGGCAGACGGACCGGTGCGACGATGACGGCTTCACAAAGGTGGAGAAGAAGAAGAGGAAGCCCACCAGCCGTAACCTGTGCGGCACTGCACCGACAGGGTCCAACTTTTTGCTGCGTCCGGCAATCCCGACAACGCTGCTGTACCTGTCACGCCTGCATTACTCCACGAAGTCTGAGGAGATAGTGGAGTACATCAGGTTGAAATCCAAATACACCCTGAGGGTCGAGCGGTTGGAGTCCCGCCACTACGTGAACTTTAATTCGTTTGTGGTGAGAGTGCCGACCGAACATCTGTCGACCTTCATGAAGGAGGAGTTCTGGCCGAAGGGTGTCCTATACCGGCGATTCCGTGGCCGGTTGCCTGACACCAGATGGCGCCACACGTCGCCGACAACCTAAATACGTGTTAAATTAGTAATTAGTGTTATTTTATATTGTTATGTATGTTAGTCTGTAAGGTATGTATCTATGGGTCTCAGTAACCTGAATATAAATAAATAAATAAAAAAATTATACAGCGCCCCTAGCGGTCACAAGAAGAAGTAACATTTTGTATACAAATATTTTACGTTTTCGCTAACGAAAACTGTCACAGTAAACTCATGGTAGAGGGACAGTTCACATTACATTACTTTTGCGCCACGTTGTACATTGGCATAGCCATACCCATGATTTTTAATAAGGAATTAATAATCACAAGGAATTAATAATCACAAGTATGGCTATCTAATTTAATCTTCCTATTTACAACGTCAGTGTTATGTACAGGAAAACCAAGGTTGCAGCACGTACGGCATCTGCTTCGTCGACGCGTCAATTGGGCTCTTCCATCTGGGCCAGTTCCGCGACGACAAACACTCCTCGCGTCTCCTCACAACTCTGGCGCATTACCCACCGGTTTTGGTGAGTATGCGCGTATGCTGAAAGATTCGTGACTCGATCTTCGGTTGAACGGCCCCATATCTTCCTACATGAGTTTTGATTATTGTGACCTTCCCTACCGACCCTTACGGTATACGAGAAGGGCACTGTAACCTGTGCGCGCACAGGAACCTTATGAGTTCAGGCTCCGACCCCAGATCAGCCAGTGTAAAGTGTTGTTACAGACCCCTGGCACTTGACTTCATCCGGTTCTTCGAGAGGCTAGTGCCTCGAGTGAGCCCCCCGGGTGCACGTACAGTACCCTCCTATTTTCCATTCGCATTGCACAACCAGCGGTTGCCACCGCCAAGCCGTCGAATCTGAGACCACTACCAAATCTCCTCATTGGTATGCTGCTTTCGGTTGAACATTTTAAGATGTTTTTATTCAAACTTATTCATGGTACTATAGCCGCGACATCCTTCAACGTTTACGTTTCTTCGTCCTCCGTCCTGGCAGCCTCCTGCTGTTCTTACAACGGTATCAGATTCGATTTCGACATTTTCTCTAGTTCTGTGGTCTTAGCTAGGAACTCAATTAGGAAGTGTCATTCGTGTTAACTACACGACAGATTTTGTTGCACTTAAAAAAAATGTTAGATTAAAATTTATACTTACTGTCACTTATTGAATAACCTAAAGTTTATATATTTATTTTATTTAGCATGTTGTATTCAATTCAAATATCGAATCACTATGTTAATGAAATACTTTAGTTTATATTTCAAAATCATAACTCTAATTTAATTTGTTATATGGAAAAACTGAAAGTTTCTAGTTAGCGTTAGGGAGAAAACTTCTGATACTCGTTTTCACATACTTAGTTCGGTTTTACTGATTTTTGACGAAGAAAAACTTACAAACTTCTTGATCAAATGTACCTATTAAAGTAATGTACGAGTAGTATTTGAAAGAGGTATAATTTATCTAATTAAAATGCTAACTACAAACATTATTGCGTGTACCACATTTTACATCACATTTTTATCTTCGTCCTGAAAAATTACATAGAAATCACATACGAGGTATTCACTCTAAGTCGACTCGATATGCACGTTAGACGTTTTACTTTTCCAGCGTCGAATTACATTTTTACAAATGTACTCTATATATATATGTATAGACGCTAAATTACCGGCTCGCTATGATTAAGTAAGTTTCGTATGAAATCATAACTACGTTGAAGGAGTTAATTGCTGTAAATTTTTTTCAATAGTGACGTGCAGTAAAATTTATGGATGTATAATTTTACGACACAACTCGACATTAATTTGTTGTAGGAAATTCGAAATTTAAAAAAATGAATTCTAATACGATCGTCACTTATGGGGTCTCTGGCCAGCACAACTTTATCTTCGGCAAACTCGCGTCAAAACTCAACGCAAAACAAAGGAGTTTCGAATTGACGATATATTAAGTAAACATTTTTATTTTCCTCTTTCCTATTTACCTCTTGAAATACTAGCTACCCCTTGCAATACTAGTTATAAATCTAAAAACTTCTATTATATTTTTTTGGATAATGAATTGAAATTTGACCTCACTATTGCAATCTGTCAAAACGGCCATCATAGCGTGCCGGTACTGTAGTGTAAGAATGTTAATGTTAGTCTGAGAGTCAGAATGTCCTGTATAAACAATTTCCTAGTTTGAGATCATTCTAAAGTATTTGTCTGAGGTCTTGTTTGAAACACACTTCTAATTCCTATGGGCGCAATATGATCCCGTGCTGCCAAGGGAGATCCTAACCCTTTGGTTACACAGGAAGGGCACTATTACCTGTGCAAGCAAGTCTGCACAGGGACCATAACAGACAGGTCCTGACCCCAGATCAACCCTTAGACACACGCTTTATGCGGTTCTCGAAAGGCCTTTGTGCCTTGGGTGAGCGCCCCTGGGTGCACGTACAGCATCTATAGTCTGGATGGTTACAGGAACACTAGCATTGTATTGCAGATAATCTACGACCGCAAATCGACCAGCCTCCGTACTTGTAGGCTGCTGTCAAGCCACTGGCATAGCGCACGGCGCGAAGGTCAAGCCATGTGGACTCCCGAGAAGACTCTCAAAACTCTTGCCGAGAAGTATTATAAGACCAACGAGGACGGCGACTGGCCGGAAGGACTCAAGGAGTTTCTACATGAAGGTGGGAGATTGAGAATTTTTGTAAAGGTTTCTAGTTGTTTCTACATCATCACCCCTCATAGAAAAATGGAATAAATGGAATTATGTTAAAATTGCTTTATTAGATCAGAAAAATATAACCAACATCTTCTCCACTTATGCCATTCTTCCATGAGGGGTGCGAATTTATTCATGTGTTTTCAGTTTATTGAAATAACGCAAGAGAACCAATACATTATATACAGTGCTAATAATCAACAGACACTGCTTCGCAAACTAAGCTATAGTTGTCACAAAATAAGAGGCACCTTTTGACACTTGTCATCGCAACGAAAATAGGGTTGTGAACTAAACATATTGGTAACTATATTAAACGATTCTCATAAGAAATCGATTCAAAATTTTATGAGTTTGTGATCGTTTAGATTAGTTTTTTTTCGGGTCATTGGTTTTCAGTTCTAGATAAACAATCAATATTTATGTAAGCAATATAGAGTTCATATAAATAATAGGTAAGTATTTTAAATAATCACAAGGACAATCTGTAGTTAAACAGCAAAATTCTGAAGCAAACAAAAAGAATTTGATATTCAATCATACTATCAATGTTAACATCTCTGTCAAAATCAAAAAGTAAATTGTTTTTTAAGTTATATTGCATTGTCTCGGTGAAATTCGTCAATTAATTGGTTACAACACTATTACTTAAAAAAAATTAGATTGAGGACGACGTAACTGTTTTTAAAACGTTTCGGACTAACTCAAAATTGCATTTTATTTCGGAATTCGTATGAAAATAATACTTGAAATATGTTATATCACATTATATGTCTAATGCTTCACTAAAATTAATGTATTTTTTTAATACACAATAAGTTAATAATTGTTTGTTTACTGTTTCGTTGATCGCATTCAAAGTTACATACTATCGTTTTGCTTAGCTGTCAAATTGGGCCTCTTACATTCTGATGACTATAGTTACGTTTTATGGCTATAAATGGCACTTTAAGGGAGTCCACTTGTAGACGCAGATTCCCATTAAGCCGGTCAGAAAAAGCTTTATGTCCATATAATAAGAGCCGCCGACGTGAAACTCTCAACGTCTTTTCCACTCTTATGATACATGTCCATTTTCTGACCGGCTCTACGCGATTCCGTATCTATAAGTGCGGTGACTCCCTAAATTGGAGCCTATTGTTGTAAATTCAAATATAGTACAAATTCGGCCCACGTCACCTCACTGCTGAGTATAAACCCATTCTCTATTGCGTCAATTTTCACGGTTCTGCGTGCCACATGCATCCAGCGCGATTTGCAAATCTGACCATATCGTCAGACCGTTGCAAAAATGGCGATTGACAATCCTCCTCACTTTATTTTGCCGCATTTTGTTTTGTAATTAAGTCGAGGCTGTCACTTACATCGTAAATATTTTCCACTAAGTTGTCTCGTGCTCTCACTGCTTTCTATAGTAATAAAAGTATACTTCAATTGGATGTAGTTAAGCAAAAAGGATCAAATCCACAAAATTATCAAAAAATATGTTACGTGTACCAAACGGTTCCTAAAGTTTAACCTAAAAAAGCAAAAAAAAAAATCCAACATATAAACATAAATAAATATCTCTGGAGTTATATGACGTTATAAGTTTTGAAATAAAACAAGAGTGAGAAACATTTTTAAACTTCAAACTGCCATATCTCGAATGTGACTGGGTGTGCATTGGGTCCTTTGTGTTTAACTACGTCCAATTGGATGTATAGATTATAGTGGCCGTGGTAGCCTAATGGTTGGGCCTACCGCCTCTCAAGCAGAGGGCGGTGGGTTCGAATACGGGCTCTCAGCTCTTGAGTTTTTCGGAATTTAGCTCATGCTTTTCGGTGAAAATTTCGTAATGAAACCTGCACATCTTAGGGTCGTATTCTAGAACTCTACTCAATTCTCAAGTCAGGATTTGAGTATGGTTTAAAGCACTCGAAATCATACTCAAATCCCTGCCATTAGGGTCGTATTTCCAATGCTTGTGTTTCCAGTGCAATCCTGACTTGAGCATTGAGTAGAGTTCTAGAATACGACCCTAAGAAGGTTCACAACCTGGGAAAACGTGTGAATTCCCCAACTGGGACTGAAAGGAGACCCGTGTCCAGCAGTGGTACTTATAAATTGATTCATGATAATTTTGATGATGACATGTACATATACTACCGATGTGTTCACAGGTGACGCTCTAGGACTGACACCGGCCGCAAATTGTAGTCTAGCAGTCAAAGCCTTAGGCGGTTGCGTTTCTTACCTCACAGATTGCCTTCTTGACATACAAGTGCTTAGTATGTCTCAATTCACATCACACAGTCCGCCCGATGGCACGCAAGCCATCTCAGAACAGGGCAAAACTGTTAACAAGTGGGAAGGGGGCAGTACTATGGTGCTAGATGCGATTACTTTGAGGAATCTAAGAATCGTTCAAGACGAAGGTTGCTTGTATGATAAGCTCAATTTCTGCTCCACGAATATGGGTAAAAGGTACACGATCTTTTTTTAGTTTTTTCTAGTTTAGGAAAAATCCTCGGCCCAGCAACAGTAACTTTGTCACATGGGACTTGTCCATTCATGCCTCAGGGTAACGTGGGCAGTGACAGTGCCTCTCAGATCTTTATAATTTAAAGTTTTAAGTGGCACTGCAACTGTCATGGACAGGCGTGTCACTTACCACCAGGCGCATAACATGTTCGTCCCGTCACTTTGTATCATAAAAAATAGATTTTTCGGGCCAAAATTGTAAAGATTTCGAATTGGTTTATAAATTTTGAAGAAAATAGCTAATTACGAATTACCAACCATTTAAAAAAGTAGTACTTCTTTGTTCCATTGTACTATGCTCGTGATTATCTTCAGATTGCTATACCAATGGGTGTGCACTCCAAGCTGCAACTTGGCAGTGATTAAGGAGCGTCAACTGGCCGTCAAGGCGCTTTTCGAGGACCAGGCGCTGTGCCAGGACGCGAAAAACTTGCTAACCACGCTGCCAGACTTAGAAAGGCTGCTCGCCAAGTACGTAGACACTTCACATTTTATACAAACTTACACACTACACTTCTGTTCAACGCCCTAACTTTTGAGTCGTAATACGACACGAAATGAAGTTTTTCCGTTATTTGATTTAAACAACTTCGTCAATCTTCCCCAGCCTCCCTTTTAAAAGTTTCTAAAAAATAATATCGTGTTGTATCTTGATTATTAGTTCCTATAATACCACATATTTTTGTATGTATAAGTTCTAACTTTTGAGTCGCTGATATAAGAAGTTTTTCCCTAATTTGATCTAAATAACTTCGTCTCGGTCTTCCACACCGTCACATCCTTGGATCTTCCCTTCTATAACGTTTCTAAGTAAACTTTCGTGTCGTGTCTTGATTATAGGTTGCTATCGTATCACATAATACGTATAAGTTACCTTTCATTAAATTTAAAAAATAAGGTGGTTTGCATCAATTTTAGACATAACTGGTTGAAGACTGTACCACCTCAGTCAACCGTGACCATGGGACCTGTAAAGGGCCCGAAACGTCGGTTTGTTTAAAAAACAAATGTACGCGATTTAAATCCGGAAAAATAGTTTCATTTCCTATAATAATTTAAGTTTATACTGTACTTTGAATGTACTCTGTTACTGAGTAAAGGAACTTTTCCAATAAAACGTTCTTCAGTTTGCGCCTGAACGTTTCCTCACAACATTATTTTTTTAGTTCGGCGGGTTGGTGCTCGTAGTAAGTAGGTCGGTCCTATAACCTGAGGGTTTTTCTCGTGTAGTGCAGTGCGACGCGCGACCGAGGCACCCACCCATCACTTCTATTCGCCTAAACTGTGCCTAAAGTGTCAAACGTTAGTGTGGCCGTAGCATTATAGGCTCCTTACCATGACATGACCTTTTATTTCACTCGCAAGTTTCGGGGGCGGTGAAAATTTTGAAAGAAAGAGTCATACCGTGGTAAAAATTTTTCACCACAATGGCAAGCATTATAGTGTATGCCATCAATACGATAAGAAGTTAAATTAACTTTCAAATTTAATCAATTATAGTTAGTTGTTATCTTTAATGTTGACACATTACAGGGTACACACATTAGGCAATCAGCAACGCTCACGTGAGCATCCTGACTCCCGTGCGATTTTCTACGAAGAAAAGATCTACTCCAAACGCAAAGTGTTGGATTTCCTGTCAGTACTGGATGGGTTCGCCGTTGCACTTAAACTTGTGGCTTTATTTGCTGACACCGAATCTGCGTTACTCAAAAGACTGATGCAGTTGGCTCCAGATGGCAAGTTTCCAGATTATAGAGACACTTTAAACTTCTTCAAGGTACGTTTCCATATATTTTAAACAAAACAAAGTTTGATTAGATAAGCCAGAAGCGTTCTATGACTGTGCGCAAGCACATGCTTTTTGATACGTTTTATAGTTTTTATTTCTTTTAAATTTGTATTGATGTAGTTTTCATAAAAAGCGCTAAAATTCACGTTCCCAATAATCCCAAATATTAAATTTCGTCCCTTTTCCCATTCAAAACCATCTGGGTCTCAAAGGGAGTATTTTCCACTCTATGCGTATTATTATTCCTCAAGTTTAGGTAAATGTAGTGTTCTTATTCCGATCTCTGGTCATTAACGACGCTGACGCGTTGTTCGAAAGACTTTTTCAACTTATATCACACGTACAAAATGTTATCAAACCCTGACGCTTAATTTGCGTGTTAAGTTGTTTGCCGGTTTTGGTCACAGAATATAAGGACATTTTTTTTAAAAACACCGCTTTCTATGCCGGATGTGCTAGAAGTTCGGAAAAACAAAAAGTGTGATACATTTATTAGACTTTAGTATTCAATAAAAAAATGGTTTACGGTCTCTTGAAGATAAACATGATTCTTGTTTCTTCACAACAATATTTTTCGTGCAGGAGGCGTTCGACAAAGAGCAAGCAGTGAAAGAGGGTCGACTTCTGCCAGGTCAGGGTGTCGACCAGGAATACGACAACACGCTCAGAGAGATCCAGGAAATTGAAGACGAGCTCCGTGATTATCTCACACAGCAGGAAAAATTCTTCCGATGCAGAGTGAGTATTGTTACTAACATAGTTTATAAGCCTGTTACCAATTATATATAGATTCCGATCCAAAATAAATGCTAATTATTATTATTGTCCGTAGAATACTTTTTGAAGGAAACTGCATCATAATCCTTTTATTAAGACATTGTTTCACAAAGCCTTTCTAAAATTATTATGCCCCCAAAGCATATACATAATTTATAACATTCAAAAATTTTGAATGTGTACGAAAGTCACTAGGAAATTATTAAGGAAACACAGTTAGTAAACTTTCAAAACCTAATGGAGAACTGAATTTCAATTCAAGTACTGTCAAGCATAGTAACCATTCAGCCTTGGAGTCAGTTAAAACTACGGACGTATTTATCACGGATCACAGGAGAGAAAAATTAATTGAAGTATCTCTGACAATAATAGAATGAAACCAACCTTTCCCCACATGAACGTAGTAAGAAAATTAAAATTTTATTGAACTCTGTGATATTTTTTACCGAACAAAATTTAGTCAATCGTGTTTCAAGCCCCTAGTTCTACCGGTATCTTCTATTTTCATTATCAATAAAAAAAAAATTGAATTCATAATCGTCGGAGATAGTACAAATCTAAGTGTCACTTAGATGCATAAAACTTGCTTATTATTTCCTAAGTAATTAAGTCTGACTTATTGCGATCGGCAGGTAACGTACGTGGGGTCGGACAAGAAGCGGTACCAACTGGAAGTGCCTCAAAACGCCGCAGCCAAAGCCGGGTACGAGTACCACTTGGAGGGTGCTCGCAAAGGATTCAAAAGGTTCTCTACACCTGAAACTAAGGTACAACTGTCTTAATAATTTCTTTTTATATTTTCACAAATAGGGCTAAGCGGTGTAACTCCATGCTCCGCTTAAAGAAGAAATGAGGGATTTAAAATTAGCCTAATTCATTTTATGTATAATAACAGTGAACATAAATAATACTAGAGACGCAATGTCCTACAAACAGTTGTCTAAAATGTAGGACCACTTTGCAAATTTAAAGACTAGCTTTGAAACCGATTGAAATTTCGAAGAAAAATATATTTGTCTCGTTTTTTTAATGTCAAAATGAAATAGTCATAGTGCATTAAGGGATGCGACCAGTGTTACCGATTTAGAAATAATTTTCCCTAATTTCTTGTAGCCTCACTGATGGAAAGAGACAGTGGAGATAGATAGTAATCCGAAATGGAATGAACGAGTGTGTGAAATATACATGAAAATATATGAACTTAAGGCTCCACGCTTGAAATTCGTAGTTCTTTCAAATAAGTTGTAAATATGAAGAGATGACTTTCTAATCTAAGGGTCGTATTCCAGAACTCTACTCAATGCTCAAGTCAGGATTTGAGCACACTTGAGTATGATATCAAGCACTGGAAATACGACCTTAAGTTAATTTTGCCTTGTGTTTTGTTACTCAAAGTATCTTTTCATAAAAGTCGTATAATTTTTATCTATTCTGCCCTGCGCGTTCGATCTTTAGGTATTCTGGGAAACAAACAAAGTATAATTTTTAATAGTAATAGTTACACTTTACGTTAAAACGTTACAACGAATAAACTTGAATTACAATCACTTTGACTACGAAGTCAAAAGTAACCTCAAAAGGGTTAACTCCCAATATTATGGGCAAATGAAAATTTATTTACTGGCAACATTGATGTTTAAAATAAATTTATTTCATTTTTATTTTTATTTACGACAATCTAAACAAACAAAAGCAAACTTACCTGTGGAATATTTTCCATAGGTAAGTTTGCTCAGTAGTTTTATGATTATTTTCGGACCTGAAAATTGCAAATTTTAATTACATATTTCACCGTTTTTGATACTTTTTGTCACGTCTCGGTGACGTTGTACTCACTCGAATTCAAGATGATGACTGATTTCACTGTTGCCTGTAGGCAACAGTGTCGTCAGAGGCGCAAATTGCGCATCTATTGTTTACAAGTATAATATCATTGTATAGTAATCATACAAATACATATATCCTTTATCGCCACAATGGCACTTTTTGACATTAATAATTTGTTAAGCCAAAACATAAACAAACAATAAACGATACGCCAAACATGTCAGAGGGCGGCATGATAGGCGGTGTCTCAGCTTTTGCTGCCTGGAACCGTTGTTGTCGCAGACAGCGCTGTTTTTCTACCACCTCCTTGTCTTTAAGATCTTTGGCGGGCTTAAAAGCAACGAGGACCTAAAAACATTAATGAAAGTTAAAAAACCATTATTCTATATTGTTTAATAATTCAATATTATTATTATTATACGCATAATGGGTGAAGATAAACAATTAAAATTATTAACGGAAAAAACAGAACAAAAAATAAGAGAAATAGAAAATATATTCCATATTTATATTTCATATATGACTAATATACAATTATTATTGTTTTAATACCGTCGTTATTCACCGTTTCTGCCCACGATTTTTAGGCAGAAATGGATTGAAACAGCGCTTCGGGTAAAAACCCGGCTAAAACCTGGGCGGGTTGATTGATTAATCCGCTGCCCATCTCTGACCTCCTTTAATCAGTTTTATAATATCTTTTTATCATTTCAGCTTTATGGTTAAGTAAAATTAGCTTTTTTAGGTAACAATAAAACTTTAGGGTGGTAATATCTCGAAAGTTATCGAATAGTTAAGGGCAATTATACTTAACATAAAGAACATATGTGGTTAAATATGATTCCATTATTTTGAGACTATTAGTAACAGCGGTGGTAGCCTATACTAAAAATAATCTAGGATGATGATCCCTGTGACAGTTCATAAAAATCCACAAAATATAACCTTGTAACAACGTGGACTAATTTACGTATTTCATAAATAATTTTTACAAGTCTCGCTTTTAAATGTATAGCTTTTGTTTAAGTAAATGCATTAAATTACAGCAAAAATAACACCAAATCAATGTTTATTTGTGAGAAATGAGCGCAGAAACATTTATTTTTTAAATTTTATTAATTTTTTTACGACACGGTGCAAAGGTTACTTCATGACACTGCATTTGCTAGAGATGAGGTATATCGATAAAAAGTTTTCGATAATTTAATGAAAAAATGTATAGTGCGTGTATTTATTCTTAAAGTATTAATTTTAATCTTAGGCAATGAATTTACAGGTCAGTGTTATTACTTTTTGAAACCTATAAATTAATGATATGATAAATGTTTTTAGAAATGTACTAAAATAACAATTGAAATCGCATTTGAATTGTGGTTGTGTGTCTTATGCCTTTAATATAATCTATATATCGTTCAGAATACGTCAGACAGTTGCAGTGCCACTCTGAGATTTAAATCTCAAAGATCTGAAAAGCATTGCCACTGCGCCCGTCACCGTGAGACATAAATTGAAAAGTCCCATATGTCTGTAATTTCACCAACACCCTTCAAAACAGGAACGCACTCATGATCACATTACTGCTTGGCGATAAAAATAGGTAAAGTGACTCTGAAACGAACTCTTTCAAAAGTTGCTCTACTGCTATACTAGAGGCTACTACAGCTTGGTATGGTATGGTGCGACGGGCTGGTGTCCGCAATTCGACGCCAAGTCGGCTATTTTGCGTTTGGTGGGAGCAGAGTACTCGTGCCACCGAAGCTCCTCCAGAAATCTCAGCATCCTCCTAGGTTTGCTGAAGACTTTGGGGAGCGACCTCGGCACTCCAAGGTACTTCGCCCTGTAGCTAGCCACGCCGGAGCATTGTAGTAGGATGTGATTGAAAAGGTGTTTACTATATAGACCTTGACCCTTTAGGGCGGCAGTTAGAGTGCGAAGCTCTTGCCTTTTGAGTTTGAGAAATTTTCGAGATAGACGGGCCTTGAGCGTTGGGAGTGCATTCCTAGTCTGCCTACAAACTGGAAAGGTTGTCCATGTGTTTTTTGTATCTTTGTGTAGGGTTGTTCTTGACCATTGCTAGGGGAGGGACGCAGTGGATTCTGGTCCTACAGCGCCCGTATTCGACCCTTTTCTGGTCACTTCATCTGCTGCGTATTTGCCACGTAACCCTCTGTACCCTTTAATCCACTGTATAGTCATGTAGTTGTGTATACATACCTCCACGAATGCTTGATGGCATTCATAAATAAGCCCTATGTTTTGCGTCATACCACAGCTTTTAGTCTTATTTGTTATTTGGTTGTGTGTCAGGAATTTCTCGCCCGCATGATAGCAGTCGAGGAACAAAAGACCACAGTTCTTAAAGACCTGAGCCGGCGGATCTTCGAGAAGTTCTCGACGCATTACAACCAATGGGAGGCGGTGGTGCAGTGTGTAGCAACCCTTGATGTGCTGCTAGCATTCGCCGAGTTCGCGCGACAGCAGAGCGGAGATGTTTGCTTGCCGGATGTCACTTTTGATATTAATACAAAGGTAACTTATCGCCCAGAATGATTTTCTAATATAATTTGGTAATTTACAAAATATCGCACACCAGGTTCAACTTAGGTGGCTTATTTTGTATCAGGAGCACATACTTCCTCACTTCTTGGTAAAAAATTGGAAAAGCTATGGCAAATTTATACTCGGTTTGAAATAAGTAATGTTACATCAGACGACTGAATCTTGGCTATTATTTATTCTAAATTATTTGCCATTGTGAGTTGTATCAGTTTTAAACTCGGTGTGTGCTTTGATGTTTCCATTGCTAATTATATTTTGGCAGGGATAAAACGGAAATTGAAAAATAAAAGTTCTGAAAAGAAAATGCACCTTGCATTTATTGAGATATGGTTGATTTTAAAATCTTGTGTTCAGCACATTTTTTTAGTTTGAACTTTTAAGCGTGAAACACGCAGAGAACGGTTGCGGGTCGGGTCGGGAACACATAGGGAGCGTTTATCCACACTTGTATAAATACACGGAATTACACCCGCCGTACTCTCGACCCGACAAGCGCCCAACCCGCACCTGCTGTCAACGAGTTTCACGCTTTACTTAATTTTAAAGCTAATTATAAACATTGCCATGTCAACCGAGCTTAGGCATCATACAATGCAATCTACAATTTCATTTTAAAAGTAAATTTTTCAAAAGACCATATTATCATGTACAAAAAGATTGGTAGCGACTGTTGTAATTCACTTACTCTTGATATAATACGGCTACATCGGCAAAATCACAACTTGTCAGGATTTTCATTATTACACCGAGGTTGTGAAGTGTTGCTTTCACCTTTTCAGCCATACATAAGGATAATTGAAGGTCGTCACCCGTGCATCCCGATTATAAACGACTTTATACCGAACGACACAACCCTGGGCGCAGACGGTGCCAGCCTGCTTCTGCTCACGGGGCCCAACATGGGTGGCAAGTCCACACTAATGCGGCAAGTTGGATTGCTTACCGTGCTCGCGCATTTGGTAAGTCACGATTCACACTATCATCAATCCATTTGTACGTTCCACTGCTGGGTACGGTTCTCTTTACGGGCGAGGGTTTTGGCCATAGTCCGCTACGCTGGTCCAATGCGGGTATTTTGTAAATTATAACTTTTTTTTATTAAAAACCTAATCAACATCTATTTTCCAAGTTTTATTGAAACCGGTTGCCGGAAAGTTCGGGAAACTAGATTCAACCCCTAGTTTACTATTCATCAAAAAAAATTATCAGAATTGGTCATCGGAATCACTTAAATAAAATATAGTCTAATTGAAAACCTCCTCCGGTTAAAAACGCGATTAGATCCGAAAAAATAATATTTTATTCATTCAATAAACTTTGTTTAATTTTGTACGTGAGGCGCACTATAAGTTTCCGGAATGAATAAGAAAATAATACAGTAAATGGTCAGAAATGAATTTATAGTTTAGTGTATAGTATAATTTCTCAAAATATTCTCCGTTAGCGTTAATGCACTGTTTCGTACGAATGAACTAATTTTGAAAACATTTATGCCACTCCTCCGTGACAATCTCTGAAACTGAATTTTTCATACTCTTCGACAGCCTCTTCAGGTGATGAAAATCGTTGACCGCGTAACTGGTTCTTAATTTTTGGAAATAAATAAAAGTCACGAGGCGCCAGGTCGGGACTGTACGCGGGATGGCTCATAAGGTCAATGTTGTTCACCTTCAAAAATTCATTTGTCTGTCTGGCCGTGTGAGAACTGGCATTATCGTGGTGCAAGATGATACGGCGTTTACGGTTATTTTTAAGGAGTTTGTCAACTTCCAGCAAACAAATGATCGTGTACTAATCACTATTCACGGTACAACGATTCTCCAAAGCAACAGTAGCCACGTGTCCAGTTTTATTAAAAAAGAAGCAATCATCTGCTTAGAGGCACTTTGCACGCGCGCCACTTTGGTTGATTTCGGCTCATCCCGAAAGACCCATACGCTCGATTACTACTTTGTTTTGGGATCGCAACTATAAATCCATGTTTCGTCATCTGTTACTATGTCCCACACCAAATTTGACGCCCCTTCGTTGAATCTGGTAAGCATGGCATTGCACCAAGTGACGAGATCCGTTTTTTGAGCCTCAGTTATATTGTGTGAGATCCACCGAGAGCACAGCTTTTTCACACCCAAATGTTTGTGTAGTATTGATTGTATTTGACTCATACCTACGCCTAAAGATGCCCGAATCTCACGGTATGTCACATGCCTGTCTGTTTTGATCATACGGCGCACAGCATCGATGTTTTTGTTGTTCACAGCAGTGAGCGGGCGACCATCACGAAATTCGTCACTGAGAGTCACACGACCGCGTTTGAATTCTACAAACTAGCTATAAATAGTCGACTTGCATGATGCTTCGTCTCCAAAACCAGTTTGAAGTCGAGTGAAGCTCCGCTGAGTTGTTAAATCACACTTAAAATCGTAGAAAATCATACCACGAACATTTTCACGAGTTAAATCTGTCGAGATGTAGACAACCAATTTCTAAAATGACGCCACAATGTAAAAACAAGTGACAGTCAGATGAAACAAACTGTATTCTACAGCTAAAGAGTTCCATTTTCAAATGTTGTAATTTATTTTTTAAATATTGTTTATGTAAGTGGCCAGTTCTGGAAACTTATAGTGCGCCCTATGTAAGCATATTTATCGTGTTGCAGGGCAGTTACGTGCCCGCTCAAGAATGCAGCGTTAGCCTCGTGGACCGGGTGTTTACGCGCGTGGGCGCTTCGGATGACATCCTCTCCGGCCAGTCCACGTTCCTCGTGGAGATGAACGAAACATCTGCCATCGTCAAACACGCGACTGTTCATTCTTTGGTGCTGCTCGATGAATTAGGTATGCTGGATGCACATATCGTATCCTGGTTACAATAAAGCCACACGTGATCGTACATTAACAGAGCTTTTATAACAAAAATAATACGAAGTACAGGAAACAAATTATGTATATAATATAGTTTGAAATGACTTCTAGCAAGACTTCTGTATCGTCGTAAGTCTTATTCTTAAGCCAGGTTTTGACATTCTTTTTACATCTTTTCATGGCGAGATAATGGAAAGCAGAATTTAATTTAGAGCATAATGTTCCAAAGTGGTCTTTACAGCGCCCCTGTGGGCGCTGAAGAGTCCAAGGGGGGTAGGTGCTTCGGAAGCAATTGACGGGCGTTGATACTGTACAGGGGTGCTACCGCATTTAAAAAAAAAAATATGAATTATCTATATAAACTACACTACATACATATATATATAATTTTTTTCCTTGTGATGTTTTGTAAAATACGATTTTTTAATTATTTTTTGTCGTCGTGGGTGTTGAAAAGGCATATGACTTTACGCGTGTTCGATTTTTTATGAGTTGTCTCATTTTTTGTGCACTAACTTAGTGATTTTTATTCTCTTTCACATTAAGGACGCGGCACATCGACGTACGACGGCACGGCGATTGCGTCTGGCGTATGCGCTGAGCTTGCTTCGCGGGGCTGCCGGGTCCTCTTTTCCACGCACTACCACTCCCTGGTGCACCATCTCGCCTCGCATCCCGGCGTCGTACTAGGACACATGGTAAATACAGACAAACACACCTTAAAACCCTACTATATATTATTTAGTAAAGGTGAAGTCTCTTTAAATAATAACACCTCATCACTAAACGTCTGCTTATTCATATTGATGACGACCACGGTGACCCGATAGCAAATCCTGGTTGAAGAATTCTCTAGTTCGGTTCCCGATGGGACAAATTTGTGAAATTTATAATTATTATATTTATAAATTTTTGTTATCACCGAAAAACTTGTAAATAAATAGAACATTTCCAACGATAGTCTTTTCGTTTCTCCTAAAAATAGGTTTTATAAGTGTATAATAATGACTTCTACCCTCTCAAGGCCTGTATGGTGGAAACGGACGAGTCGACACCAGACAACGAAGATCACATCCCTGAAGAAACAATAACATTCCTCTACAAGCTGTCTCCAGGCGCCTGCCCAAAATCGTACGGCTTCAACGCCGCGAGACTCGCGGGCATACCCAAAGACATCACACGGCGAGCCCATCGGATATCTAAGAATCTAGAAAAGGAGACCGCGTGTGTTCGCGCTTTTAGGGACCTAATGAGAAAGGAAACTAATGCAGGTGATGTCAGGGAGCTTTTGGCTGCTTTGTGCATTTAATTACTTGAAAATCAGCACTAAGAGATTGGACGTTTTGACATAAATGATACAAAACGATAGTCTTAACAAGGGTGTAACTGGATGTAACAGATTCACCACAAATGAGTTTTTTAATTAATTTTAGCGCCATCTGTTTGATCTATACCGTACTATCAACAATGTTGATTTCCATGTCATTTTGTCGCGCCATTTTGTGAAACTTCCTATAGCTGTTGCGATGATGGTGCCCCAAGGAGGCTAGTTTTCTTAAAACCATTGGTCATTGTAATTATATTGAGACTCTACTGCGATTTTATTCCAATTACGGTAATATATGTTATTCTGCTAAAATCTAGTAGCAACGGCAGTTGAGTCTCTGTGATGGCATTAATTAATTCAATCCCTAACGATCAATGTTTGTCTTTATTAAAACTCCTATGGAAATTACCCGTGGTGCCCTTTCAGGTTCTGCTATTCAACTAGTTTTGTGGGTGGTACTTCGTTAGAGAGAATAAGCTTACGTAATGAATTTTGAATTTTCAAATCAGCAAATCTATAAGCTCACAAATACGATATATATATGTATACAATACATTCATCAGCAGTGTCTAGGGGTCAAGCAAATTTTTGCTAATTGTTCCAAATCAGGTGTTTTAAGTAATTTTTTTAACACCATTGGTTTCTTTACCTTGATCCCTAGTCATTTTTGATGTGTAGAATTATAATCTTATGTTATTGCTGGGTATATATATAATCACAAAGGTCAATGATAAAAGTGGAATTAGATACTTTTAAGTTGATTTAAAATTTGTGGGTTTGGGGATGAACGGGGGAAGTAGATCATACAGTGATATAGAATACTTGGGACAGCTGAAAAAAAAATCTGGTCAGTGGTCTCTTCGTCTAATCCGCACTCAAAAAGTGAGGTCCCTTACCCTAATTTTGGCTAAATGAGCTGGTGTGCACGAGCTTTCCACCCTTAATCGATTGATGCTTTGTTTTATTTAAAGAACCAAGGTTTATTGGGGATAGAGTTTTGAATATTCAGTCTCCAAATGAAATTATTTTTTTTATGTCAAATAAATAATTAGTGGACTACGCCATCGGCGTACCACCAATTCTATCAAACACTTGTCATCAAAAAATTGCAATGGCAGTTGAATAGTAGCTCGATGGCTAGTCACTGGCAAACCAACAAAATCCTGCCATTCACACTACCGACACTCAACTGAGATGATTCAAAATTAGCAGACTCTGGGGGCGGGTCATCTATCAAATTTAGTAGCATTTGACATCGTCATCGTGATGATGGGGTCAGTATCGTAATTGCGACAGCCATGCTACAGGTAATGTTTGATTTGGCTAAGCGTGATTTGGTTATTCCAAGGCGAGATACGTCTAAATGGAGATATTCGTAATTTTTTGTTAATTGATTTGTTAACGTGGCACATTTTAATTGTAAGGCCTAGTTCCCACAATGCCGGACCGGCGAATTTGCCGTGAAACCAGCACTCGGACTAGGTGTTCACATTAAGCCGGATCTCGTAAGGAAACCGGAGACTAAAATCCTCACCTCGGTCGAATTCAGACCACTGCGCACGATAGACGACAAAATTGTGGTATCTTAGAAGGCTTAATAGAATAAAAAGAAAACATTGGGTTTATCCTACTTTACGGGAAAGATTTTTAATGGGCCAACTGAGAAGTGACGAGTCAAATTTTCGAATGACAGCATCCTCTTTTGATGATTAATTGGGACGACTGTCGTCGTCATTCTCATTACTCCGATCCGGGCGTTCTGCAGGCGGTCAGGAGTAACAAACGCTCCGGCAACAATGCCGAGCTTTCTTGCCGGGTCCGGCGTAATGTCAATAGCTTCATATGAATTGTACAGCCACTAGCCTTTCCAACAGTTTTATCGACCCGGCAAATTCGCCAGTCCAGGATAGTGGGAACTAAGCCTAAGTAGTGTTATGTAAATGTAATTCTTGTCATAAAGTGTCGCTTATATTTGTAAAACCTACTTTAATTTGATTGTCATGAGAAATATTCGCGTAGGGAAGTCATCGATTTGTCGACACGAAATGTCTGTGCTAAGAACTAAGTTAGTGCATTTCACGTCACCGATCAGGGCGGAAGCAAACACGAACCGTCTTTTTCGCTCTTATTGCATAGACATAAGAGTGTGTTTGTTGTTGTGGTGACTACCTAGGATTACGAATAAGTATGTTATTTCAAAGACGACATTAATCATAAGTAGTAATTTTAATAATTTAATTATCAGTAATATTTTATTCAATTTATCTGTGATTTCATTGTTTAATCAGGATTATTTTCACACCTACCGTTCAATATACGTTTTTATGCAATTACATCGTCTTTTATTCAATAGTGGTTAACGAGAATAAGACAAAGTTGAATTCTGTCGCGACAAAGAATTTGGTGAAATCAGTGATGGTGTATGTATTATGATTACGACAATAAGTACCAAATTTTATTATTAATTCTCTATAATTTCGGAGCGTCCCTTATTCCAGTGTGATCATGTTTTAGTTCTAGCAAGTTGACTGGTAAAAACTCGCCATTAAGTCATCTCGCCATTTTAGTAGCAGTAGAGCTCCTTGTGAAAGAGTTCGTCCAGGGTAGTACTGCCACCTTGCCTATTTCTGCCGCCAAGCAGTAATGTCAACATTGCTGTGTTCCGGTTTTGAAGGGTACAGGGTTATAGACACATGGGACTTGTCAACTTATGTCTCAGGGTGACGGGCGCAGTAGCAGTGCCTTGCCTTGAGATCTCTATGATTTAACGCTCTGAGTGGTACTGCGACAGTTATTGACAGGCGTGTAGCTCTTATCATCAGGCGCACAACTTGTTCGTCCCATCACTTTATATTGTAGCCTGCTTGCCTGTACCAAGCGCCGCCACTCGTGCTAGCCGGTGCCTACCAAATGAAAAGACGCGTGATGCGAACGAAGCTTCATACTTGATACTTGTCTTTTGTCGAATATTATTTATTTAACAGTAATTGTTTCGGACGGATATCCCCCTATATAGATAGAGTAGACCCCCTGGCGCTATCAAGACGCCATTCCGAGCAATACACGCGTCCTAGCTATTCTGCTTCCCGCGCTTTTCGCTACCGAGTAAACTCATTTCCAAATTCCTAGTACTTAACTTTCACTTCTTACTTCCATTCTTCTTTGTATCACTTGTTGTACATCTTCAATTTCCAATCTTCTCGTGCGCGTAATAACTAAATCTTCTTCATTACATTAACGTGCTTTCTTTGTGTAACTGTGCATTGTTTTATTACTTCGCATCATTTGCTAGCTACCTATAAACCCGCTTGCCTACTCTACCTGAACCAGCGCTTCTCCACTACGTCCTGGGTTCGATTCCCGGCCGATACTTGTTTGGTTACACCAGTAACCCACAATATTATAAAAAAAGTCTGTTCAGGTCGTAATAAGGCTAGATTTAGTGGATCAAAAAAAAAGGAAGAAGAAAAATTATAAGGGTATTTTACTGTCCACACTGGAATAAGCTTATTCCAGTGTGGACAGGACTTAGATTGCACTAAAAAACTCTAGTAGCTTAGATTGCACTAAAAAAGTCGTGATTTAAAAAGTTTGTTCTAGACATAAAAAACTAGATTTAGGCGTTTTGCTGTTTTGAAGTTATAGCATTTAACTATTGACGCTGAAATAATCTTATTCCGGCGGAACCATTTTTAAATCTCAAGAACCACAGCTTCCAGCTTAGATCTAATTGCTCCCAGAAAAAAATTGTTAGTGAATCAGCTCTACTAAAATTGTAATTTTAGATTTATAGACGCGCCTACAATAGAGACAAGACTCATGTCCACTTTTTTGCACTAAACTTAAGTACGTCTTAAACCAGTGCTTTAAATTGATTAGACACTTTTTAACACAATGTATTAAAAGCGTATTTTGCATTGTAAGCGTCGATTCCAGCATGCTTAAGTTTAGAACACACACAAAGCAACGTAATCATATTCTATTCGGTTAAAGAAACAAACTACATCTAAATATATATGATTTATTCATTTATTAGACATTTCATTAAATTACAAAATCATTGCACATGTATGTAACATTTTTTTCCATTAACACCCCATTAGTTGCGATTTACAATAAAAAAAATTATGTAGTGTCAAATGATATTGTAAAACTTGGTAATACAAAAATTTAATACTAGGTAATATAAAAATGGAATACAAAGGCGGTAAAAAGGAATATAATTGTTTTATGAAATAAGTATAAATTAAGAAAATTAGTTCGAAAGTAAACACCTACTTATAAAAGCTTTTCTTATAAATTCAATTAACACGGTGCACATTTAAATAAAAGATACAATCTTTTTCCCTGTAGCATAGTTCCCAAGTGAATAAACATGTTCTTTTAGGCGTACAGGTACAACCATAGATTTAGTATTGGTACATAATTTATAGACCTAAAGGCCAATGGCTACAACATGGCTACAACTATTTATTTTCTCAATCTTCGGCAATCTTCGGATTTTCTGAGTGCACCCGAATACAAATTAGATTTATACATATTAATTAAATTAAATTCAGAACGTACTTTATAGTTGTTTTGTTTCAATTTTCATGCGAACTATATGGAGGTAAAAAACTATTTGCTTTTTTAACCGACTTGAAAAAAGGAAGGAAGAAAATATTTTTTTGTGTCTATTAATCGCGTAACATTACTCCAAGATTTGTAAACCGATTTCGATAATTCTTTTTTGTTGGAAAGGAGGTACCTCACTATGGAACCACCATTGAAATTTGAAGAAAATGTCCCACCTCTAAGAGTGGCAAATAAGGGGATGAAAAATTAGATAGAAGATTCCATATACTTTTGGGTTCGGGTTTTTTTTAATATAAAACGCTATAATTATATAATAACATTTTACTCTTTAACCATATATGGTTTACACCAAACAAGTTATCAAAACTATAACAAAAATAAAGATTAGTAGCTACTTTATATATACGTATATACATCAAAGGCGATTGAGTGCCTCCGGTCTGCTTCAAGTGCAAATGGCGACAGAAATCTGACGACAGCCGAAACACGAAGATTGCCCAGATATAACCAGAAAATGTTATTTTGTACTGTAAGCAAAGAATTTGCGTTTTCGTGCGTAGCCAATAAAAAAATAATATTCCTTCACTTAATACCAGCTACTTACTATATATTACAATAGTGCGACATTTTTTAGACATAAACGAGACAAACTTTTGTCTCTTATAAGTGCATACATTCTTCCCCTAACTCCTTAACAGCATATTATATAATATACTAACAGCAATAAAACTATTATTTTCTTGCATAAAGTAACCTGTGAATTAACTCGTCCTTCAAGACTGCAATGAAACGACGTAAGTACTCTCAAAACAAGGTTCCATTGTCATCATTATCTCTAATTATAAAGACCCCTATTAATTTAAAAATGTACTATTCAATAAAACCTATTTTTACGAATCCATATTAATTGTGTACTTGACATAACAATTTCTGTGAATCACTCAAAGATTATAATTCTATGAAGAAACAACACAATTATTTCATTTATATTCCCATCAAGTTTCACAGACTTAACAATTTCTAGAACAGCGAATCACTCAAAGATCATAATTCTATGAAGAAACATAATATATTAACAGTGAATCATAATTCTATGAAGAAACAAAATATTTACTTCATTTATATTCCCATCAAGTTT